AAAAAAATTACTGGTCTCTACGCTAAGATATCCGATTTAGTCTATTATTCTTAATTATCATATGCGAAGCTTATTGAAGGGGTGGAAAAGAAAGTTTATTTTATTTTTGCGATATTTCTACTCACAAGGGGTCAGGGAAATTGGATCTAATGAAACGGAACACCGTTTTAATTAATATTTTAATCATGCGAAAGGAATAAAATTCGGAAGCCTATTAAAATAAATCCGTTTTAAATTACAGGTGCAAGTGTACTCTATAGGTTTGTTTGTTTTTTTTTCCCGAATGTCGCTGACTTCACGCACGTGACCATTTCAAAAAGAGAAAATTCCTCGTTTTAAAAGAAATCTAGTTATTTTTTTTATCTAATTTTTTGTTTATCGTTTTCTTTCCAAGTAAATGCCTTTATCATTTCTGATTTTTATTTTTTTATTTTTCAATAATTAAAAAAAAAAAAAAAACGCCTTTGTTTTAAATTAGGTTTCTTATTTTAGTTTCTAAAAAAAAATGCTACACAAAATTTAAAAAAAAAAAGAAAAGCGAAGAAAATATGGAGAAAAAAAGAGCGAAAAGAAAAGAAAAAGTAAAAACAAAAAAAAAAGCAAAACTTAATGACAAACAAGTTTTTGTTAAAAAGTGAGAGAAATCATGGCTCTCTACAACTTCCTGACTTCTTTTTTCTATTAGCCTCTTTACTGGCTCTCTTATTCGACGGCTTGCGGCTATATCACGTTGAATGACCAAATCTCCCCCGATCACCGAAGTTAAGCAACGTCCAGCCTGGTCAGTACCTAGATAGATGATCGTTTGAGAATACCAGGTGCTGTAAAATTGGATGTAACGTTCGTATGGCTTACGACCATATCACGTTGAATGACCGGTTCTCATCCGACCACAGAAGTTAAGCAAAGGCGAGACTGGTCAGTACATAGATCATGTCTCTATTGTTTCAAGTCTCCTCCTCCTCCGTGAAAAGATTATTCTACATTCACCGGCCTGCTAGAGATTAAATATTATATAGCAGTTCAGCACTCTTTTCTTTGTTCCTAACATTTTCTAACTCTTAATATGTTTTTAATTTCTGAAAGGTAACTTTAGTTGATCATATATCTCTTCAGCTTTCTGTGCCACATTTTTAACCAAAGAAAAGATAGAAAGAAAAGAAAGATGGATCGGATAGATAGATATAATTTTTTTTTTAATAATTAGAAAGAAAAAAGAAAGAAATTCAGGATCAGATAGATAGATAGATAGATAGATGAATAGATAGATAGATAGAATTAGATATAAACAGAATGTGAAATTTTTTAAAAAAAAGAAAGAAAGAAAAAAGAAAGAAAGGGACAGCATCAGATAGAAGATAGATTGAGAAAAAAGAAAAAGAAAGAAAGAAAGAAAGAAGAGGGAGGATCGGATAGATAGATAGATAGATAGATAGATAGATAGATAGATAGATAGATAGATAGAGAAAGAAAAAAGAAAAGGATCAGATAGATAGATAGATAGATAGATAGATAGATAGAAACAGAATTGAAGAAAGGAAAGAAAGACAGCATCAGATAGAAGATTGAGAAAGAAAGAAAGAAAGAAAGAAAGAAAGAAAGACACAGCATCAGATAGATAGATTGAGAAAGAAAGAAAGAAAGAAAGAAAGAAAGAAAGAAAGAAAGAGGATCTGATAGATAGATAGATAGATAGATAGATAGATAGATAGATAGAAACAGAATCTGAAAGTTAGTTAGAAAAAAAGAAAGAAAGAAAGAAAGAAAGAAAGAAAGAAAGCACAAAAATAGATAGATTGAGAAAGAAAAGAAAGAAAGAAAGAAAGAAAAAATAAAGAAAAGAAAGAGGATTATTAGATAAATAAAGAAAGATAGAAAATAAATAGAAGAAAAGAATCTGAAAGTTAGTTTGAAAGATTCAAAGAAAAGAAAGATAACAGGACAGCATCAAATCGATAGATAGATTGAGAAAGAAAGAAAGAAAGAAAGAAAGAAACAGGATCAGATAGATAGATAGATAGATAGATAGATAGATAGATAATGGTGGAACATTTTCTAGCGTACGCAGGCCAGTAGAGGAAGTAAATACTGTTTAAAATAAATGGAAGGTCTACTCAAATACTTATCCACTAAAGATAACCTTTGATGTAAGAAATATATGTCGGATTAAAAATAAAGATGATTAATTCATAATTCTATGTCAATAAGCATTCCTGAATTTGTCTTTTATGAAAATATCTGTTATTGCTTTTATTTCCCTGTCAGTTTGAATTGGCATGTCCCAGAGGATAGTTACATCGTTATTTTGGGTAACTGTGTCTGGTTGGTTCACATACCATCTCTCAGTGGTTTCAATTTTGTGCTTCTTGCATAGCTTCCATTGCACATATAATCGCTACTTTGTTGTTGATGTTGTTATTATTATCATTATTATTATTATTATTATGATTATTATTATTTCCTTTGATTTTTGTTATATATCTATTTCCTTCCGGCTCCCATCAAGAGACCTAAGGTCAGAAATGGCATCATTTTTCACTGCTCATTTGTGTGGGAAAAAAAACAGCTATAAATGCATACACATTTTTACATAGATAATGCCCTTCGTAATGTGTGAGCTGTAGTTGTAAGAACAATTTTTTTTGTATTTCTTTAAGGTATCGGTTGACAGAGAATCCCTTCAATAAGTCTACCAGGACCTTTTCTAATCAGTCCGAGGCACAAGTGAAATTATTGATATCTTTAAGTTCAAAATTTTGGAGATTTTCACCTCAAGATCCTTGTATTTTGATAGGTTTATTTTTTTTTAAGATCTTCAAAGACACATTACACTCTGTAGGAACTTTCATGTCAATAAGAAAGCACATTCAGTTTTATTATTATTATTATTATTATTATTATCATCAGTATTATTGTTGTTTTTGTTGTTGATGTTATTATTATTATTATTATTATTCACTGTAATTTTATCGTCTGGATTCTGTAGAAAGTCATGTCATATCAAGTATCGTATCATCACCATTATTATTATTATTATTTGCGTTCAAATGTCGTACGTTATGTCGGAGGTCATATGATATCAATTCTCCATTGAGCATTACAGCCTCTATTACTGCTATTACTAATATTATCATTATTAGTAGTAGTAGTAGTATTGAGGAATTGGAGAGCCGTGATCGAATTCCAATGAAATCCATTATATTTCACTTACGTGCTAATACCTTTCGGAAAGGTATAAATCCTCTTCTTTTCCAACCGCTACAAGCTATGGTTAAATAGCAGGACAAACCGGGTTCTGTAGCCTTGGATAGCAACTGGTCTACAGCAGAAAGAAATGGAAACCTATTGCGAGAAAAATCTGCCTCGTCAGTCATGTATCGAAAGATATATGATCGCCTCAGCGTGTATTACGCATGGCACCTAACTGACTGATTATTATCCAATAAGGTCTTCTGTTATGGATAATGTATAAAGTTAAAAGATATTTTGTGTGTTATAATTAGCACAAGGGAAAATTTTGAAAATGTCGATCTTCATTTCCCAGTGCAAGAGATTAAAAACACGTGAACCTTGAGCATATCCGTGTTATGTATAAATAACAGCATCTAAAAGACGTTTTTCCTGAAACCTTACCCAGAAAATTCGGGTAGGACCGTCATAAAATACATTCCGTCCAGGATGATGAGGTGTACGGTTTTCTGGTCTGGTGGGCTGACGCGCCGAAACGAGATTAAAGCCAGTCTTTCAAGCGTCGCCTTTCTCAACAAAGAATTCCTCATAGAATTCCTGTTCAGACATTTAATATTAAATAAAAAAAAAATTCATCAAAGGAAGAAATTATATCATTCGAAGAACAAATAAGAAGAAAGATGTTAAGTAAAAAAGAAATATAAACAATGATAAAACAAAAAAGAATTTACAGTGACATGTGTGCTGCTGTTGCTGACAGATGGATCATCAAATAAAACCTATAATAGAACAATGGAAAAGGGACTTAGATGCAGTGACGTAGCTAAGTGGGGACGAGGGGGACCGCCCCGGTTACCAGCACAGGAGGGGTGACACAATGTCACCCCCCCAACAGTTTTTTTTTTTTCAACTAGGCTAAGGTGCCAAAAATAGTCTGAAAACAGTGGTGGAGACACAGGGTTTCGCAGGCTGGCATATGACCCCCCAGAAATAATTTATGACCCCCGAGTTTTGTCCCCCCGTCAGAAATTTTCTAATAAATTGTCGGGAAATTTGTGAGTAGGAAAATAGCAATGTTTTCAGCTTTTGATTTGAACTGATTATTTTGTGGTATTGGATTTTGTCTTGGATCATACATGTAAACAGTAACGTACCGGTCAGTAGAGTAAAGTAGAGGTAGAGCATGTATGAAAATTTAGCTACAAGCTAACCATTCAGCATAGGGTGAATCGGGGTCATTGGGGTGACATTTGAGCGGACCGCCCCAGGTGACGTTTATTCTAGGTACGCCACTGCTCAGAGGATACCTGAAAAAGCAAGTCCTTACGACCAGACTATGCATAGGACATTCCACACTTAACTCATTCTTACATCCTGAAGAGGATGGATCCCCCGAAATGCTCCTGCGGAAGCAGATTCATAGTGGAGCACTTCATGTTGAAATATAGAACCATCTCTAAAATAAGATGGAAATATTATAACCATACGAGCCTCAAAAGAGTCTTTGGAGAGACAGACACCAAAAAATAAACAGTTTCCTTTCAGAAATCAGCATCCATAACAAAATTTTAAAAAATTGTTTTCCCCTTTTTATAACTTAACCCAATGCTACGATTAAGCTCTGCTAAAGTACTTGCAAGAGCCTCTAAGGCCGAAATATCAGAACATCTCTATCTATAAAAGGCAGGATGTGTGTGTGCGTGTGTAAAGAATGCCTGGCCGCAATTTTTGACGGATTTGCACCAAAATTTACATGCACATGCTCCGTTAGCGAGAAGGCCAAGACCGACTTTGCATTTCCCAACTCCCGTCGATAGTAGAAATAATCGATTTTTTCATGCTTCTACGGCAGTTTTCATGTAGTTTGCGGCCATTTTCTACTGGCCAGAGTGAGAGCCTATAGCTGGCTGCCACGAATAGGCAGGAAGATTCTATTGGCCAGCGTGAGAGCCAACAGCTGACTGACACGAATGTTAACTAGCATGCCAGCAAAAAAAAAAAAATCGATAGCTGCATTCGTCACAAGTGTGAAAAAATTTAAATCTGCAGGCACTTTACTCCAATTGGCTCATTCGCTTGCTTAAACTCAACGTTGATTCTGATTCCGCAGAACTGGGTTGGGTGTGAAAAGTATTTGTTGTTAACATTCTTTTTTTTCATTCGGTTTTTCCAGTTACGAGTCCTTTTTTAAAGCTGATCGTTTTGTGTTCATTTTGTTTAGTTCTTTTTTTGTAACAGATTTAATGTTTAGTATAGAGCTTAGAAAAAATTCGCAGTGTGAGATAGGCAAGAAGTAAGTCATGTAGCAACATTAGCATGGCAAATGGCACTCCTTTAAATGCAAGGAAGGGCAAAAATGATTTAAGTCAAGTGATAGCGATTGCTGTATGAGTCGTACGATTTTTGAATCAAGCACGGGCAACGCCGGACCATGCTGCTAGTCTATCTATATGTCGAAGTGTGATTATCAAGCTATCTGATTGTCAAGGTGTAAATATCAACATATATATCTTTATATCGAAGTATGAATGACAACCTATCTATCCAGTTATCAAAGCCCGGATATCTACTATTGGCATTAAATAACCCAACGAGGTTGATATGCCGTAAAACACAAAGAAAACAAACAAACAAATCAATGGAGTTTGGAATCGTGGAATTTGTGAGTATGGAAGAGATAGCAGACAGTAAGTGTCACGAAAAATTGCCTTTGCATTTGCTTTAGATTAGTTTGGTTTGTCCTCAATGGATTATTTAATACCGACAAGATTTTTATTGCTGGTAATATTTTTTTCAAAAAATGTATTGCCGGTAATATTTTATTTTCTTCAAAAATGTATTGCTGGTAAAAATTTATCCTTCAAAAAATTTATTGCTGGTATTTATACCTATTTTTACACTTTCATAGTATTTTGACTCCCAGTTTAGTGGTTATTTGCCCATAGTTTGGACCCTAACAGGAGCTACCACCCCGGGTCAGGGTGGACCTTGGAACACCAGCAATTAAGAGGTTGTTCCACGCTCCTCGAAACCTCTTGATCAGGGACCTTGCTGTTGGACGGAGTTTATCGTCTTACCCAGGACGCAGATGTAAGTTCATCGTCGTACCCAGGACGCGGATGTAGTTTATTGTCTTAGCCAGGATGCGGATGTAGTTTATCGTCTTATCCAGGACGCGGATATAGTTTATCGTCATACCCAAAACGCGGATGTAGTTTATCGTCTTACCCAGGACGCGGATGTAGTTTATCGTCATACCCAAGACGCGGATGTAGTTTATCGTCATACACAGGATTTGCTTTAGAAAACGGTAAAAAGCAGAGTATACTCATATTAACTGAGTGTCTTATTAACGCGAATCCTAGAACTCAACCACACATGTTGTAAATTCAGATATGATCTTCTCCTTGACCGATTCCCACCCAAGGCTATAAGACACAGTCTGCCCTATTATTTACCTATATTTGGAGATTTTGAATGCAAAGTTGCTGTCCTCCTAGACTGATCACCGCCTAATGCTATAAGACCCAGCCTACCCTACTGTTTACCCATAGTTGGAGGTTTTGGGTGCTGAGTTGTTGTCCACCCAAACAGATTACCACTCAAGGCTACAGGAACCAGCCTGCCCTACTATTTATCCATAGTTGGACGTTATGTATATAGCATTTTCTTTCTCCTAAAGCGGTTGCCACTCAAGGCCGTAGAAAAGCCAATCTGCCCTACTATTTACCCATAGTTTGAGATTTAGAATGCAAAGTCGCTGTCCTCCTAAACTGATTACCATCCAAGGTTATAGGCCCCAGTCTTCCCTACTATTTACCCATTGTTGGAGGTTTTCAATCAAGAGTTGGTGCTTTCCTAGATTGAGTACCACCCAAGGCTACATGATACAGTCTGCCCTACTATTTACCGATAGTTGGAGGTTTTATATATAGTTTTCCTTCTCCTAAACCGGTTGCCAACTTAAACTATAGGACCCAATCTGCCTTACTATTTACCCATAGTGCTATTATAGTATAATATCTACCATCCATTTTCTACTATGGTAAGATACTTACCAACTGTTGGAATATGTTAGGGTTAGGGGTTAATGTTAGGAGTTAGTATTAGAGTTAGGGTTAGGATTAGGGTTTAGAGTTGAGGTTAGTATTAGGTGTTAGGGTTAAGGTTAGGAGTTACCGTTAGGATTCAGGGTTTTAGAAATTAGGCTTAGAATTAGGTGTTAGGTTTAGGATTAGGAGTTAGGATTGGGGTTAGTATTAGGATTAGGGTTTAGGATTAGAGTTAGGGGTTAAGGTTAGAGTTATGATTAAAAGCAGTGAACAGAAAACTAGTTATGTATTGAAAATCATTAACAATTTTTATACAAAAATAAAAAAAAAAACATCAAATAGTAATTTTTTTCTCATGTCATTTAAAAAACAATAAACAGGTCATCGTTTTTCCTGAGCATTTTCCAGCAATAATGAGTGCATCGTCATTTACGGTTGATATGCTATAGTATGCTGTTGAAGGTTTTGAATGCATAGTTGCTATCTATCCTGCTATTTATCCAGAGCTGGAGGGAAAAAGAGGTGGATTCGTACCTTTGCCAGGAGTACTTGAACGTAAGTAAATGTAACGAATTCGACTAGAATTCGAACCCGGCTCTCAATCCTAGCCGCTATCCATTACTCCACCTTGGTTTTTGGAAAATGAAACCACAATGGACACGGTCATCATCACCAAGCGACGACATGAAACGTATAGAGCGCTCTCGTCAGATTTTCGTTTTCACGAGAGATGACCGAATACAAAATAAAATTGGATACTTTTCGCACGCACCTCGTCTATATATTTTTCTTTTTACAGTAAAGCTTCACCCTTTACAAGGCCCGGGAACCACTCGAATTTAAGTATATTACGTTTTCGTGGCCATTTGTGTGCATACGAGTGGAAGACAGCGGTGAACACTGGCCTTGAAGCGGTTAAGATTGTAGTGATCCGGGAAACATCCTCTTCAGATTCTGTTCCCAAAAGGCTGGGGTTCGCGGAACGAAGTTGCTCAGGTGGAAAAATATTTCAATTTCACCGATGTATACATGTGTGTTAACAATCACATGTATAAATGTGCGTCATACATGCCTGCGTGTATATACAGAAACGTCTGCTACTATGTAAGTGGCATAGCGTGTTCTTCATGCCTCTGTTGGACGAGGGAATGTAGTTTGTCCGAGCACTTTCCGTGAAAACAGCGGTAGAGTAGCAACGACTGGCCATATCCCGCCTGTGAGAGAGAGAGAGGTATATATATATATATATATATATATATATATATATATATATATATATATAAAGAAGTGGTTATATGTAAAGTAGTAGTTCCAACGAGAGAAAAGTGTGTATATAAACAGAAGAGAGTAACCGCTTTGTTTTTTTTCGTTTATATATGGATAATTTTTTAAATATTATGCTTTATTTTCCGTAATTTCGCTATCGACGTGTTTCAATCTAAGTTTATGTAATCAGGCAAAGCGTGGAATTTAATATTATATAAAAATAATTAATTTTTTTCTTATGTTTTCGATATAAATATTCTCGATATGAGACA